GGACTTTTTACCACATAGTTAATTGATAAGTTACTGTCCCTCTGTCCTCTGCTTTGTTTAGTGTGATACAACCACACTACTGTATGTAGGAAAATGCATTCATAAATATAGTTGTCTACAAATTGGAAACATATCCTTGTTTCTTCTTGGCTCTCCTATCAAACCAGTGTCATTATTCAATTTGTGAGGAGTGAAAATGGAAAATAATTACTTTCCATGGTTTCTCTTCTATTACGTGTGCCACTTACTACTTGTCTTGCAGACCCTGCTTCCTGTACTGGAGGAACGCTCTATGCCCAGGCATCTGTGTTACATGACAGCCTATGTGCATTCAGGGGCAGACCCTTAACAGAGCACTGTGCATGAAAAGATACATCAAGTATGCAGTGGTGGTACAAAACCAAAACTATTTTTTGGTTTGTTAGCCCTACTATTTTACAGTATAGTTTTATATTTGTTATACAAGAAGTTTAAAAAAATAAAAAGAAAAAAAAGACACTGTTAATAATGATACAAGTTTTCAATCTGCACAGAATTTTTTATGATGGGCTTTGCAACAGTGTATATTTGTGAAACAGTTTTAGGTGCTGTAAATTTTGGATTATACCTTGTGACTGCAAATTGTCATAAACCCACAAAGAGACTTGAAATTCTGAATGGTTAAGAATAGATGATGCTGCTCAGATCAAAGAAATCTGTGACAGAATAGAAAACTTAAATCCGGGCTTTCTAACTTGCAGGGAAATGCCTTAGAAAACAAATTTCTCATTGTTTCTGTTACTGCTATTTAAAGTAATACCTGCCCAGCTTTTCTCATTAGTATAATTTTGTACATGTGATTTACTGGACTGAAAGTGTTTTGTCTTTCATAGAATGTTATGTCAGTCTTTCTAATGAGGAACCAGTTGCACACCATAGCTGTTCATGAACATTTTAAAGCTTACATGCTCCAGCTCAGCTTCTTCAAAATTGAGTGAAACTGAATAACCTTAGTTTGGGAGTTCTTTTCTTAAGACCTGTTTGTCAGTACCCATCAACTCCTACTGTTTATCTACTGTTTATCAGTACTGTCTGCCTCAGTGCTGTTTTCTCAGAAGCCTTGAGTACTGAATAAAGAAAATAATAGAAGCTTAACTTTAAATCAAGGCACAAGTACATAGACTTAGGTTTGCATCCTACAGTTCTTCATAAATCTTTTTTTCAGTAAAATTTAGTCTTGGAAATTGTTGTCTGGTGGATGGAGTGCTCGAAGTGTGCTGTCCTGGTGGCACTGACTGCTACATCTGAAGTTTACTTTTTTACCATTCTAATGTTTCCATCTCTTTTAACTGTTACTAATATTACTGCTTTGTTTGATCTCTCCAGTAGAAGTTTAAAAGCTTGGTGTTACAAGTATGGTTTTCTTTTGCCAACTTAAAAATAATTGGTCCCCTTTACACAGGGTGATTTTCATTAATAAATGTAGTTCTGGATTATTTGGCCAGGATTTTCCTTAGCATGTGTTGTTACTTCCATGGGACTATAAATGAACGAATGCTGTTGTCTGCATACAATATCCAGCTGCAAAATTAGTTCTGGTGACAATGGAGAAAAGTGAGTATCACTGGAAAATGACACTTGCCTGTGGAAGAGACTGCCTATGAGCTCACCCTCTGGAAAATATCCCGATGGCCTCACAACCTAGCTTTTTTCAGTGCACAGTAGCACAAATGTGAGCCAAAGTTTGAAAATCTAGTGCTGTGTGTTTGCTTTGGCATGGGGCAACCCTGAGGCTTTCCTTTGAGAAATGGGTCTTGAAATCTTTTGCTGAAGGGAATAATTTTGTCATTCCTCAGTGCAAAATAAGCTGATTCTTATCTATACCTACTATCACATCATATTTTGAGAAGAGTTTAAAATATCACTGCCCAGGTTTAAAACAAAAAAAAATCATAAAAATCTAATTATCCTTCTTGCTTTAAAGGAAGAGAGGGAGAGGAACAATATGGAAAAGGTGTAGCTTGGTGTGTAATATGTTCTTTTTATATTCTAGCATATTACATTCAGTTTAATTTTTTTGACATCTATCAGTTCAGGTTTTTTCTTCCTGCACCCCACTACCTGCCAAAAACCCATTTCCTTACACTTTTATTTGGAATTTACAGGGCTTAGGCTAACACCATTTAAACCTTTTTGGTGCTTGTATACCTTGTTGGTCCTCATCTGTATGTTGTCCTGGAAAATAGATTCTTTGTCCTGAAAAGTGCTTACAACCACTGCTACAGAGTGGAAGTGTTTTTATACCTTTAATATCAATGAGAATAGCTTCAGACTTGCTCAAAATAGCTGGAAAGTGGCCTTGACCCAGGCTGCCATAAGGCAAGTTGCATTGTAAAGGCTGTGAGCAAATAGAATTTTTACAGCCATAACTCTAACTACGTTTTGATATGCTACTTGACAGGAGGGTACAGTGAAGAGCTGCTGTATGGAACCTCAGTCTAGGTAGGATCTCTAGACCATTGCAAAACCTCGGGGTCTCAGGATTTGCTCAATGCTAAACTGCTACAAAGCGATGCTAACACTAGGGAAACTGGAGTTCTTCCCTCACTCTGAGGTGAAAGGTGCCTGGTCCATGCTGGCCTTGTGTAGGTGTTAGGATCTCTCAAGTGTGTGGATGATGGCTGAAGCAGTTCCCAGTGTGGCTGAAACCCTTATTCAGATAAAGTTCAGAAAATCTGAAAATAATAATTGAGGTTGTTTTTCCCCCTCTGAAATCTAAGACTGGGATGTGGAAACAAAGTAGGACAAAAGTGCTATTTATGTTTCTCTAGTATGATAAGTGAAATTAAGTATGAGATATAATAGACTGGTATGATTAAGAGCTTAGCTTCACAAGAGTGAAAAAGGACAAAGAAAGAGTAGGTATTGCTGCCCTTGACAAACTTGTAGAAAATTGTCTTCTAATCACATAAAGTCCTAGTTTTTTTTCTTTTTACCTCTCTGCTTTTGTATATATTTTGATAATCTAGGAAAGCAAACCCTGATTACTCCCTCTTCCTTTAAACTCTTTTATCCTTTAGCTTGGGAAATTACTGTAGCTGAGAGAAATATTATCACATCAGCATACTTAATCATTAGGTCCAGTGAGGAAGCCCTTGAGCCTACTAGGGGAATTTCTGGGCACATGCCCTGGAAGAGTCCACCACAGGCTTCAAGAAAGCCTGAGTGGTTAGGATGAGACAAAATGCTTCTCCCATGGTGCTATGAACACTAGGTAAATTAACCTCATCCCCCATAGTCATTGACCTTTGCCTTGCCCCTGTGCCCCGAGACTATTGGCCCCTGACCCTATACTTAACCTGAGACAGTGCAGGAAATTGGGGTCTTTCTGTCACTGGATCCCTTCGATGGGATTGCAGTAAATCTCTCTGGAATACCATACAGGAGACCCTTTCCATCTTTCTTCACTGACCTGTCCATGGTGTGCGTGTGAGTTTTTTTATAGTGACTGCCTGTGCCAACCCGAGTGGCTTTCTCTAGAGATGCTTTGGACTGGTAGCAGTAACAATATCCATATGCCATGCTGCTACAGTTCAGAGCTGCAAACTAGTAATACAAATCACAAAAACAGAAGGGTTTTGTTTCATTTTGTTTCAAGAAAAGAGAACAAATTAAACAATCAGTCAAAACATTTGTAACTTTTGATGATCCGTCATTCTGTCATTCTAGAGGTAGAAACGTGCAGAGAGAGAAATGAAGATAAGTTGAGAATGGTTTTTAGAAAATGCTTTTTGGGGTAAAAGCAATAAATACCCCAGGTTACTCTTAAGATAAAACTTTTAAGCTAGTCTGAGTCATATGAACCTCTGCTTTATAAACTGTGCTCATATTTATGAGATATATTACTTCTTCAAGAGAGGATTTTTAATAGGGGAAGAAAATTTTTGAAGGACTGATCTGTGTTATTGCAGAGGGTTAAACTAGACTGTAGAACTTGACCTGATCTCTAAGCGTCTTTTTTCTTTAACTCCTGCACGACTGGAAATTCCCATTGGTTTGTATGTTGTTCAGTTGTTAATCCAGCTCTATTCCACTCATTTACAAGGTCTAAATGTCCCTTTTTGTTTTAGTGGGGTTTTTAAATTACCTTTGGTCACTGGAGCACTCTCCTATTTATCATATCAGTGGGTCTAATGGGCATATATGGTTCTTTCGTAGTCCAAATTCACAGGTCACTGGGGACTTGAGAGATAGTTTATGGCTTTATGGTTTCCAAGCAAAACATTTAACAGTTCATAACAAACTTGTTATGAATTTGTTCTGGCATGTTGCCACCTCTTTGTCTGTCTTTTCTATGTCTTTTCAATGACATGTCATATGATTTCTTCATTCATTCCTCCCTAAGCAGTATAAGGCTTTTCCAGAATGCATGAATGAATAAGGGAAAAACCTAAAGAAATTGGGTATTGCAGCCTGGCTAAGGCTGGACATAACACAGCATGATCCAGTGAGCAACATACTGATCAAGATGGCAGAGATCTGAAGAAACAAATATGTGGTGAGCTCAGCTTGAGTGAGAAAAAGTCTTGCAAGAGATTTTCGTAAAATATTCCTGAGTCTCAGGGCAGAAAAGTTAATGGAGATCTTCCACACTGGTGGCAGACAAAGGAAGCATTGCAGTGGTCTCTGGTCATGGGAGCCAGCAGCATTGTCTCCCCACTGTCAGCACCACTGGCTGGGGCAGCTCTCACTCTTTTTTTAGCGTCCTTTTTATGATCCTGCAAATTGCTCATTGTAGGCAGTAGCCTAAGTACAAAATGCTTCTCTGTCTTTTTAAGGGGATAGAACTCAAGCAGTAATTACAGAATTTTTCAAAATGTAAATCCTAAGCTCTCCTTTGTTCAATGGTCCCAGACTGCAGTGGGGGTAAGCAGCTTCTGGCTGCTATATTAATTAAAAATTATGCAGCTGTTTCTGTTTGAAACACTAGATGAATTGGTTGATTGATTTGTTTGTTTCAGGAATTTATCTCTTGGATTTAATCTACATTGATTCTGCATATCCTGCTTCAGACAGCATAATGGAGAATGAACAAAGATCCAATCAAATGAATAATATTCTCCGAATCATAGCTGATCTGCAAGTATCCTGCAACTATGGTTGGTAAATTTTGTTATGCCTATCAAGCCTTGACTAAAATCACTTAAGTGCAAAATTGTGGAAGCACATTTTGGCCCTGAGGGAACACAAGAGGCTAATGTTGGTAGAGTTGAATGCTAGTAAGTGATGTAGCTTCCACTTCTGTGTAGCTTCAGTCTTAGCAGTAAATTGGGCAGATAAGCATGTACTCTAAATTGTAAGAGCTGTAAGAGAGGTTGTGTAGAGTTTACTGTTACATGTGGGGTACAAATGACATGCTTTCAAGTTCAGCTATTGCATTTGGCTTATATATTGTTTCCACCAGAGGCAATCAAAGAGAATTATTATCTTCCCTTTACTTTGCAGCAGATATGATGTCTAGAGTGTGGAATGTGTTTGTTTGGCTATCATTTTGTTATTAGCGTCCTGGTGATATATTTACAGAATGAAATACAAATATTTCCACCAATACAGCAGTTGTTCAACTGTGCTAAGATTTTGCATGGATGTTGCTCCCGGATGAAGTCAGGAAAATGAGGGGTTGCTTCTTTTTGTTAACAGGATTATACTCTAAAAATAATTTCTACAGTTCTAGCTGTATATCAGGAAATATGCTGGTTTTGGTGTCTGAATGAATACTCAGCATACTCTTGGTGACTTAGCATGACTTTTCATTTCTTAAATGTATAACCAGCTGAAAAGCCTAGAGTGCAGCTAAACAATCAAATTCAGAAAATTTAAAAGCTGCCGTTTTGGAGAGCTTAAAAAAAAAAGATTGGTAGATTGTGAAAAAAAAACAAGGTGAGATGTTAGCTGTGTATGCTTAAGTATCCAGCCCTTATCCTTTTTTGTCAGCTTTGGTATTTTAGAGTGTTTCAAGGTAGAAACTAAACATAATAACGTATGATACTGATCAGCTAGATTATTCAGGTGTCATTTCCTTTTTGTGAGTTTCATTTTGTATCTGAATACTTTGGATGATAAAGAAACCTCATGATTTCATTGACCCTTTCTTTTTTACAGTTCTGGTAACTTCCTGCAGTCATATGCATTAATTTTGAGTGCTTTTGTTAAAATCTAGATGAAAATGAAAATATAACCTTGAAACAATATTCTGGGATAATGGCTGCCTTTAAAACAGTTACCTTTATGAGAGCACAGAAGTTAAGTTAGGTACATACAAGACATGTTCCTGTCCATGCACCATGTGTCAATAGTTTCTTCTGTCATTCTGAACTTAGTGTCTTTCATTCTTGGTATTCAGCATTGTAATTATTAATTAGTTATTTAATAACTTTAAAGTCTCCTCAGTTCTTGGACATATGAGACCCACTAATGCCTATGGCTGTAGGCTTTAATTTTCCCAAGACCAATGAACCAAAAAATTCAAGCAGGTTTCACAGCAGATAATTTTTTTCCACCAGCAAGATAGCATCTAATAAAATCCACCAGCTCTCATGATGATGAAATGCATCTGTATTTTCTTTAATAACTGAGAGCATCACTTTTGCTCAATCAAGTCTTTAACACCTTTTTAGAGTCAAGGTAGTATTTCTGCCCAATTTATTTTTTAGAGAGGTTCAAATTCTTTTTCCATGAAGGTATCATAAGAATCAGAAAAAAAAAAAAAAACCTGAAAAAATAATAATTTTGGATGACATGAATGTTAATGTTTTTTGTTTGTTTGAACACTCCACAGATCATCTCACAACACTTCCCCATGTGCAAAAGTACTTGAAGTCTGTCCATTACATTGAAGAACTTCAGAAATTTGTAGAAGATGACAATTACAAGTAAGTATTGTTCTTTTCTTCAGGCATTGAGAAATTTAACAAAAAGATTACTTAGTCATTAGTTTTATTAAGAGCTGAACCAAAAGCCCAACCAAAGGCTGAAGATGTTTTAGGGTGTTTTCTGCTAAGTAAAATCCAGACTGACAGTCTTTATGACTATAAGCAGATTTACAAAGTGAAATATACTAGTGAAAAGCAACAGTTCAGAAAAGATGAAAATCTAGTCTTTATTCTATGACATGATTGTGTTCTGGGAATTTTGTTCAGTAACACTGAAGTCATCTCCAAGACGTCCAGCACTGGCTCTGGTATTATGACTAATACAATAAGAACATCTACCAATTTCAAGTAATTATTTTTAATAAGTTAATACTTATGATTTGGGTGTTTAAATTTGGGGGTTTAAGCATGTTAAAGCAATATTTACAAAAGACTTGGAGAAGAGTTAACTCACACAGAAGTTTGAACAGATGCCAGAGAGCACATTGGTGAATATGTGAATATGCTCGAGTTAAAGGAAGTGATAATCCCTGGCCAGTAATTCTGAAAGAACTAGCAAAAATTAAGTCATAGGCTAAGAAAGCAAGGTTTTAAATTGCTCAGCCAACCTAGATGCAATGCTATACAATTAGCTGTTGACAAATAGAGTAACTTTTTAGGTGCGCAGAATTTGAAGTATTCAAAGCAAACGTATGTTCAGTAATACAATGCTAGTACAAAATATTTTAGCATATGTTTTAGAGAGCAAGGTTGGTAATGAACTTCCTTAAAACCAGTCTTGTTACCAGTTTTGTTAAATACTTCAGTTAAGAACTTTGTATCAGAATTTATGTGTACTTAGACTGTTTGCTAATAAAACAGTGATGGAAGGGTTCATTGAAATAGAACTTGGTTTGGCTATCACAAAGGATGAATGTGATGACTAAAATGATAGTGACACAAACCCCAAAATGTTATATAATTGTTCTAACATTGGTTTATGGTGTTGATCAGTAGATAGCTCTCACAAGTGAGATACAGCCATGAAAAGACTTCATTCATCCCTATTGCCTGTCAAATATAGTGTTTCTATGAAAAACTAGAGTTGTTTATACTGCTTCAGAAGGAGCTGGTGAGAGCTTACATGGAGTATTTTTATTACATTGTATGCAACTTTAGGATACATATGTGTGTATATTACGTTGTATACAATTCTGGCCATACATGCTTGCATGTTTGAAGGTTCAAATAAATGCCTGTACAATCAGATAAATAAAATCTGTCTTGTAACAGCAGATGTAAAGAACTAGGTTGGATTTTAGCCTAGGAAAGGAGCTGTTTGGATAAGAGAATCACAATGTATAAACACAGCTGGAAGAAAATGGGGAGGGTAAAAAGAAATTTAAATGAAATTGTAATGATATCACAAGGATAAAACACATAGAAAATTTTAGAATCTGAATGTTGAAATATGGTTTGTAACTATCAGAGTAATGGAATTATGGAACCTCTTCTTTTCTGGAGTAGTGAGACAAGTAATTAAATAGTCTTAAGTTGAAACCTGATCAGTTAATGAAGTGAAGACTACCAGTTAGTGTTTGTGAAAAAAAAAAAAAAAAAGAGCACATTTAGTAATCAGAAGACTCTGCATTACCAGTGTGGGGTCATCTACACGTGTATGAAGAGTGATCTGCACCAACCATTTACATTTTGCTGCAATTAGTGCTGGCACTGCTGGCATACAGATGCAACCTCCTGCTGAGATAGAAAAAAAGGTGTCATCATAACAGAGACAGAGCAACCCATGTTTTAGCATAACATGAGTCAGACAATTTGTCTTTTGGATTTTGAGTATAGCTGCAGTTGGTGGTAACTCCAGCTGTTCCTCTGAGCCCTGGCTCCAGCCAAGAGGCATGCAGGACTATACCTTGACCAGATCTGTTTATAGGAATTCTTGTGATGAATGCCTGTGGAGCTTTGTTTTCCCTGAGAGAATAGTTCTAAAAGAAAAAGCATTCAGACAGGGTGTTCTTTTGGAATTTCTTAAAGTATTATCAGGGCATGCTTCAAATAGAGATAAAATGTCTAAAATTTGTCCCCTTGCTTAGGCTAAGCTTCAGCAAAAGAAGCTGAAAGCACTGGGTCATTCACTGCAGAAGCTCGTGCTTGGTGAAGATTTGAGATGTTTGTGCTTTTGTGTCTGATTGATCACAGGTACTGAGAGTAGTGATGTTTCCGTAGGAAAATAATTTGGGGGAAAAAAAGAAAGTGTTTAATGTTTTCATAGCAAAATTTATCTGCTCCATGGAATTAGAATTCCTGCCAGAGCACTGATGGTAGAACATGCAAGTACTTCCTTTACTCAGTCTCATGACATTGTATATGTTTCACACACAGGCACATTGTGCAAGAGATGCACATTTACCATGAGCAGTGCACACAGCCTTTGAAAAGGTCAAGAGTCCAAGACTTTTGTTAAGAGTAGTCTGTGATTTAAATCTCAGTGTTAAAATTTAACAAATGATCATTAATTACTTATTTCCCACACACTTCTGTGTTTCATTAAAGTTGTGAAGACAGAGAAAAATTAAACTAAGTAGTCACTGGTAAAGGTAAAGGACTGTAATTAGTAGAGGTTTTACAGCACCTGGATTGGGTTAAAGAAACTGTTCATATTGTTCAATTTGATTTTTAGATAGCCATTTCCTGATGATGCAACAGTGTTAACACCATGTATACAACAGCTTATCTGCCCAACAAATGAACTGTACCATTTCAGAAAAAATTAATTAAACAAGTGTTTTCCATAAGCATATGATACCATAGCATAATACTTGTAAAAACTAGAAGCAATTCCATTTTAAATTTGAATATTAATGTAACTTTAGCAGCAACCTTGCTTATGATGTGTAGTGAATATTTTAACAGAAGGTGGGCATGATATATTAGTAAAGGCCTGTCTGCACAAACCATCCTTTGGAATAAGTCATGATATTAAAGGCTAAAGTCCTTGAAACTCTCCTGCACGAGAGAGAATAAAGCAAAACAATATCCTTGTGTACAGGAGAAAAAATGTAAACCTGTGTGTATTAGCCAATGGTAACTTGCTTAGCCCACAGACCCTGTAAAACCCTATAAAAGGTGTGCTAAAGATAGAAATAAACGATGTTCACTGATACTTCTGTGAACGGTCGTGAATAGCTGGCGGTCTCTCAGTAATAATGCTCGAAGATATTGAAATGTCTACATTTCATTAGATCATTTAATCTAATCATTTAATGATTAGAAGATCATTTAGATCATAGAATCATAGAATCAGAGAATTACATTAATCATAGAATGATTAAAAGATCATTTAATACTTCTTTGAATTTAGTTATTTGTGAGATTAATTCAATCAAGGTTAGTGGTTTTCTTTCCAGGCTTCACAAAAAGGAAGCAAGTGGAAAGGAAAAACTGGACTAAAGTCATAAAAGGTATTAAAAAGAGGGAAAGATTTGAATCTTACCACAGGAAAGTTGCTGCAGCTTATATGCATTGGAGAACTTTGATCTCTTTCTACCATGTTTGTTTCATCAAAATAAAACTTTTTTTTTTAAAATTAATTTAAATTCATCAAAACTCATCACATCTAGCCTTAAAGAAAACTCTCATTCCTCTTCCATTTTTGCACTTGGTAAGAAATTTTTGGATTTTGTTTTGATTATTTGATTTCATATTTTCCTCTCAGTTTCCCTTAATGAATCCTTAGTTTCATAGGATTTTCTGGTCCCATGCTAGAAGAAACTGTAAGCCTCAAAAATACGGAGAGTACTAAGTTTTTAGATTGGGTAAGAATATCTTCCATCTTTTTCTTTGCAGTGACTGCTCTTTTTGAGCCAGGGACAGCATTAGTGCTCTCTGCAGAGCACTTCTTTGGCATGAAGAACAGAACTATCTCAATACCAGGCTGTCAGAGAGAGATGCTTAAATAGTTGTCCTAAAACATATTGGCAGAATCCCAACACACGTTTTGCCAAATGAGAACCTCAATTACACTGGAAAGGAAAATATGGCAGCCACTTTATATAAACAAAGCTTTTCTCTACAATTTTTTGTGACAGTTCAATTGCTTCCTTTAGGTTTGTGTTTGTCAGCAAATAGGAATGCTGCAGAAAACCTCTGACAATGATGTCATGTTCTAAAAATAACAGATCCTTCTTGTTCAGCTTGTATACTGTTTTCTGTAGAAGCTGCTCAGTTTTAGCAGTATGTAACATTGTGGCACAATGCCACATCCTCCCCTAACCAGACATACCTTGCAGCCATTCATATGCATTTTTTTGCTGACCTTTTGGCATCATTAGGTCAGGCCTTGCATTTTCAGTTGTTTTTTGAGTGAAACCAGTTGTTATTTGTATTATAGTACTATTTGTCTGTACAGGACAAGACAGGACAATCAGGCTTTTATCTATGCCTGTAGTTTAGTTCTTCGAAGTATATTAGGCAATATAGTAATAAGATGACTTACAGAAAAATTAGTTCAAATTTAGGTTCAGAAAGGCAAGATGCTATGGGAAAACATTAGGGGAAATTTGTATGCAATTAGAAGGCTATACTGACTCCTAACAGTGCAGATGAAGTCCTAGCTGTACCATGTTAGTTCCAGTCCTGTTCCAGAACTGGAATTAAATGGCAGGTTCTTAGTATTATATTATTAGTAATGTAAGTAAATGTAATTTCCCAGCTTTGTTGCCCTTTTCTGGGCATGCCCAAGTGCCTCAATTTCTTTCCCGCAGTGAGGTTCCCAGAACTGGATCCAGGATTCAAGTTTTGGCCTCACCAGTACAGAGGGGCAATCACTGCCCTAGACCTGCTGGCCACAGTACTTTTGATACAGGCCAGGATGCCATTGGCCTTCTTGCCCACCTGGGCATACACCAGCTTATATTCAGCTTCTGTTGACCAGCACCCCTAGGTCCCTTTCTCCTGGACCACTCTATAGCCACTCTTTCCCATCCTGTAGTAATGCATGGGGTTGTTGTAACTGAATTGCAGGAACCAGCCCTTTACCTTGTTGAACCTCCCATCGTTGATCTCAGCTTGTCTCAGTCAATCCAGCCTGTCCAGATCCTTCTGCAGAGCATTCTTACCCTCCAGCACATCAACACTCCCACTCAAGTTAGTGTCATCCATGAACTTACCGAGAGTGCACTTGATCTTCTTGTCGAGATCATCAACAATGATATTAAATAGGACTGGGCCTGATACTGAGCCATGGGGAACCCCATCAGGGACTGTCCCCAGCTGGATGTGGCACCATTCCCCACCACTCTCTGGGCCCAGTCATCTAACCAGGTCTTTCCCAGTCCCAGAAGACTGCATCTGTCCATGCCATGGGCTGCAGCCTCTCCAGGAGAATACTGGGGGACACTTAGGGACAGTATCCTTACAGAAGAAGCTTCCAGCAATCTACTGTTGCTTGACCTACTCTCATAGAACCTACTGTTTAAATGTTAGACAGGCAGCCCAGAATGTTCCAGATATGCCAGACCCATCTTGTTAGGTACACAAATAATGGTCAGAAATGCCCTAAGGGGCAGCTTTGAGGAGTGCACTGCTTTGTTACAATTAGCATGATCCTTGTTTCAGCAAAGAGGAGTAAGTTTTGTTCAGCTTCCTCATGGAGCAGCTAAACTTCTGTGTAAGACTCTTCTTAATCTTCATTCACTTGCTTGATATAAGAAAAATTGTGTAACAGTGGCTGTACTGTTCTAGCAATAGTTCCATCCTGTACTGGGAGAGCATACTTCCATGAGAGAGAACTATGTTCAAGATTGACTCCCTATTTTATTTTCTGCATTGTGTTAGGTTCCTCTTTTCCTGCTTACTGGGGAGGTTGCTCTAAAATGGGCTGAATGGCCCAACAGCAGAGTGTTATTTAGAACTAGGTTGAAATAGAGGTCTGTGCATTTTACTTTCCAGAGCACCTGCCCTAACATGTTCCAGAAAATATTTTGAGTATCAGGCTTAAAAGAACCAGAAATTGTTCAGTCATCTTTCTACTATCTAAGAACAAAGCCTTCACATACTCTTCCTGTGCCTGTTCTGTAGAACCTTGTCTTAGTTTAATGGCAGATTGGTATTTGTTAACTCAGCAAATCTCTATGCTGATTTTTTACCTAGAGATTTTACTTTTAACTTTAGTTTCACCTTAGATTGTTAATACTAACTCCTCAGTTTTGAAATTTCAGTTTCTTGTGAGCTGTTTCTGAGGCTGGTATCTAGGATTTATCCTGACATGTCTCTTAGCTGAACTCTTGCAGTATAATTTTGGAATGTTGAAATTGTCAGCATTTGAACTATGCACTAAAACCACGCTTCCTTACTATGGTAAAGCAAAGATTTGGTTTTTTGAAAATAATTCCTGAAACAAAAAAAAATCCTTACAGTACTGTGATATTAGATTAATATAGTGACTTCTGAGATGAATTTCTGATGACTCACAGCAGCAAACACAAAACAGTGTCTTTATGCCTTATGAGTGGTTTATTAGGCATGCTGGAACTAAGGTAGTTTTTTAGTTAAAGTAATGCCAGTGGACAACATTGGACAGTCAGCTGTGAGAATATCGTTAGGTGTGTGAGGATATGGATGATGCATGTTGGTGGTAAGCACATCAGGTCTCAAAGTCTGCAGTGATCTCTTGAAAGTATCACTCTAAGCCTCTCAGGGGCCACAGATTCTGGCTCCAGGTGTCCTTTATGGGAGACACTGAGCATGTGGGTGCATGCAGGGAACTTGTGCTTCTCCATGGAAAACAGTGTCAGAGGAATTGCAAAATTGAATTTGGGTGATGACAAAGAAGCCAGGACTGGTTGAAACTGTGCTGACTGTCAGTATCTCTTCTTTGAAATAGAGAATATTTTTGATTGTTTCCAGCCTTCTGGAGGAGAGGGGAAATAGAAGAGAAAGTGGCTCAGGAATGGTACCTCATTGTTAGAATATATTCCCTTTTCTTAACAGTTTAAATATAACGTCAGCATGAGTATTTTATATTTACCAAAATATATTTAGGCTCGCATTTATTTGTTCTTCTTTTAATACATCCTATATTTTTGTAGGTTGGAAATAGATAAATTGCATTCTAATTTTTCTTGAAACATTGCAGAATTCTGGCATTATGGAAGTCGACGTCCAAACTGTCAGAGACTTAGGGCTAAGCTTCAGAGTGCAGTTTAACATAACCAAACAAATAACCAACATTATCTAACTTCACATATTCTGGGGAGATGACCAGTGGAGAGTGATGTAATCTCATTTTATAGCACTGAAGGCTCATCTGTTGCTCTGTTAGTGAATTTCTAAGTGCAGCACACAACACATGTGCTTTCTAGTTGGTATAATCATAGCACATCTCTCCCTAAAACCTTGTTAAAAGCATAAAGGTGTTAGGTCTTTCTTCCTGCTGTTATGTTCCTCTTTTCTTCCTTACAAGAATAATTTTATACAGACAGAGAGAAATAGCATAGTGCAAGTAGTTGCATGGAAGTTGATCTTGCTTTTGTCACTAAAGAAGGTGTAAGAATGCACTTGCCTTAAATGTGTTATCAGGTCATAGCACTTCCTCTGATGTACATATTCCTAGGCAGTATTTCACCTGTGCTGTTTTCCTAACATATAGGAGTTGTACTGGATCCAGGAGCTTGATGTACAGTAAGCTGATGAAGTCTGTAAAAACTGTGATGTTAGACAAATGACTTCTGGCCTTATCAGCTATGTGAGGTAGTCCTGTCATTCTTGCTATAAAAAATATGTTGTTCTGTAAATAGTTATCTGAAATTATAAACTGGACCTGCTTAATGAGCACAATTCAGTTCAGCATGCTTAGCAATAAATATGGTCTCTAATCTTTACATTCAGATTTAAATTCATTTTATTCTAACCAAGCAAAAAATTTCCAGGAGGAATGCATTACAAATCACATCACTGTAAAATAAAAAGGCTATTGGCTTGCGTGGACTGAACGACAATCATATCTTTTATCAGTGGACTTACTAGATGAATGTTTCCACAGTGAACAAATAAACTATGGCTGTTGTCACAGGGGACTAATAAAATGGAGGACCTTCTGTGATACAGGGTAAGAAAAGAGCTTCAGAGATGAGTTAGTCAAAGCTGGCAGAAACTAAAAAAGCTATTCTCACATGTGGGAAAAGACCAGTAACATCTCTCTTGTACAGACAGACACAGAATAAATTGGCAGTTGTGGAACAGTGATGGGTTATCTGAAGGAGGGATTATGTGCTTCCATTTAGAGAAAAACTGTGAAACAATGTGAAATGCCTGCTTTTCCTAGGAGCTTTGGTTTGTCAAATATGGACTAACCCAGTAAAATGGGCTTAATACCCAAATTTCTTTGTATCCTTTGGATTTATGCCTATTCCATTAAAATTTACTTCACAATGTAGTCCTTCGTGCCTTTTTGTCAGACTGGTACAGAGCAAAAGACCCATGAATGTCAAGTTAAGACTGCCTAAACTTGAGAAATGGCAGAAATCATGTGAATTGGGAGATTGAGATTTGTTGGAGTGCTGAGAACACAAGAGTGAGTGAGTACATAATAAAACACATAGAGCAAGGCAGCATGGCATATACTACTTTATTCTAATTACCTTCTTTTACTATTAAGTGTCACTTTGCCCTATTAAGCTTCTTTTCTGTAAGTCACAGTAACAAAATAGTTATTTCTGTGTGCACATTTCAACATGGTAACAGTAAATTAACTTTCATGTTTAGAGGGAATAAAATCTTAGGTTTGTATCTAAATTACTTACTTTTTGAGTTTTTATTCCCAAGGTGAAAGACTGTATGAACTTCCATTTTTAAACTGAGAGAATCAAATGATTTCTCTTTCTGCTTTCACAGACTTTCCTCACAGTATCTGTCTTGGTTCTGACAGGTAGAGATTTACTTAAAAAAATTATTGTTTTGTTACATCACAGAATAAATATCTACACTTCCAAGAAAGTAAAATTACTAGTTAGCACTGCCAAAATAATCGCTTCTTCAATTTCTTTCAACTTTAATTGAGAAATTTTTTTTTGTTAATTTCTCTAAAAACTTGTTTTTCCAGATTATCTTTAAGAATTGAGCCAGGTAACAGCTCTCCTCGACTGGTTTCCTCCAAAGAAGATCTTGCAGGTATAAAACAACATTTGAAAATTTGAGTAAGGAAATAATTTTAATTACAGAAATTCTCCACTGAAGTATATGGGAAAACCCAGAGGTACATCAGTAGCATGAGTCAACAAGAAAGATTGCTGACTTGTATAAAAGCAGTTCCAGTTCAAGGGATGTCACAGGGTGTTTGCTAGTGTTGGAACAAGTGTCAGATTGTGGGATTTTTTTTACAAATGCTTGCATTTTTGTCATTATTTAATAAGTGAATAAAAAAGAGCCCTCTTGCAGTACAAAACATACCAATGCAGTGAATAACAAAGGAAATTCTCCTTTGAGGTTTCTGTGTGATCACATACGTTTGAGACAATTTCATTGTGGAAAGCAGGACAAAAATTTGTAGCAACAATAACTTCTAGCAAGATATGAAAAACAAGAGTACCATCCATATGTTGACAAAAACTAATCTGCTGTTTCTTGCTATGACCAGAATAAACAAACATCAGGCTGTGTGAGATATACTTCCTGTTATAGGAGCCGTTATCTCAAAAGCTGTTCTGTTTTAATCTCTTGAACCTGAATGGCCAATTTTCTGTCTCATTATGTAAAACCATGTGTGAATGTAAAAACTCCAAGTCCAGACCACATCTGACATGCAGTTTCAATTGGCATTCAAAATGTCTTTTTTTTCTCACCGATGAAAGTAAAGTAAATGAGAGAAAGAAGAAGGAAGATGCTAAATATAAAACAAAGAAAAATCCCATGGGTTTTAAATCTGCCTTCCAGCTCTTTATGTTGGCTGCTGTCAAGTGACCAGTCATTTATAGGGAACCTCTTGTTTGTCCTAGTATTGTGATTACTATTCCCAGAGTCAGATAAACATTTGACATGGTCTTCAATTTCTTTAGGAAGGTGCTTTCCCTTTTCCTGCTTAATGCTCAGTATTATTAATTGCTGTGTTAAACATAAAAAAATAGTTCACAGGATTTTTTTTATTAACCAAATGAGTTCAAAAGTATGAATGCTTTCTTCATACAGAAATGCATTTGGAAGTTAACTTCCTCACAGGAGCCATCACAGTGTTGTACTCTGTATCTGTGTCTGGAAAGGTGTTGAGAAGGCTTCTGTTAAGCAGTGCCCACTGCATCAAGGCTATCTCTCCAAACCCAACCCCCTGCCAAAAAGACCGGTAGGCTGGGGATGGGCAAGAGGTTGGGAGGGTACATAGCCAGGATGTTGATTGAAGCTCCCCAAAGGGATATTCTGTACTGTATGACACGCTCATCAATAGAAGTTAAGAGAAGTGGGGGGGATGGGGAGGGAGGCACCGAGGCATTTATTATTAAGGTGTTTGTCTTCCTAAGTATGCACTACAATGCTTGGGTTAGTCCATGGCTGCTCACTGCCTACTGATGGGAAGTAGAGGATAGTTTCTTCTTTTGATTTCTTTTGCTTCTGCACACAGTCATTGCTTTCAGTCAACCCACCACATCATGTCACATTTTCTTTTGCTTTTGTGAGGATTTGCTTTTTCATACTAGAGACTTGAAACTAAGTCATTGTCTCTCATATGATTACATATGTAATGCAGACAAGTAAACTTCTTTTGTTTTCTGGCTTTTACTTTGTATTACATCTATATGTTCAATCCTTGTTTGATGTTAACACTTCATTTGTATGATTATGGAATATAATTTCAGTCACAGCAGCATAATATGTGATCATTGCCAATACTCTGTAATTCTTAATCAAGGGCTGAGACCTTATTAGAACTCTAATGGAAGTCAATTAAAAATACAGTTCCAAAACTGGAAATGAGAACTTTAAATTTGCCTAATCCAGGCAAGGAATACAGCATGATACTGCAGTGCGCTCAGCTGGAGTTCACAAAAAATGACTGGGACAATGTTCAGTATTACCTACTTCACTGAATATGTGATCCTATAGTAACTGGCAGTATAAGGAGAGGGTGAATTTTCCCTTCTGAATCATGAAACAGTGGCCTTAAGAGCTCTGTAAGGTTGCTTTACTCAGAGTGAGAACTAATGTGGTGACTAGAAAACAAGTGCTGAGTCATCCCTATTGCTCCATTCTTCTGTTAGTATTTCCTTCGAAAGCTTGACCCTTTTGTGGACTGCTGTATTTCTTGCTCAGCTAGAGAGTTCTCGCTTACTGCCAGTTAGACAATGAATGCCATCAGCATTTCATAGTACCCACAGGAATTTTTCAGTGAGCTGCACCTGTGTGGCTGCAAAATGCTACTAAATGGAATCCAGTACATTTTACTGAAAACTTTATTCCTGGAGAACGTTTATTAAGTAAGATAGTATAAATTCAAATTGAAATTTAGCTAAGCATGAAGGCAATAATTTATTATTTATTTAACAACATTAATAAATGGGAATATAGCCATATGTTAGTCTTCAATAATTCTAAACTAAAACACTCAAATATTAGTAATGGGATGTTTGAACATGGAGAATTAAAAATAGCACAATTACAGGTATTGCTGTCAATTTTATTTGGATTCAAATTGTACCTTGAAATTAATTTCACTTTGGACATTGTATGGCAGAAGTAAGTCCTTTGCAGTTGGTAAGCTACAACGATAATAGATGATCTCAAAATACTGTGTGCAGTAATTTAATGTTCCAGTCAATAGCTTAAGGCATGGGAGTCTGATAATAATGATATAAAATTAAAATAAAGGTTCTTAGCTGATAAGGTCAGTCATCAGTTCAGTTGTCTCGACAGTCCAAAAGTTAATACCTTACTAATTGCAATAAGTCTAGTTGAGTTCTGCCTGTGACATGCTGCCTCCTTAGAGATCAGTATGTGTTTCCAGGGACAGAAAAAAAGCTCAATTGGAGTCATTGGTAATGACTCCAAAGTCTATAATGGGATTAAGTGCAGACAATAGTGTCACGTTTGTGTTCTAAAATATAATTGCATGTGTTCATGATGGAAATGGGTTTTACTTGCCAGCTCTGTGAATTTATCTTCTACCCAGTTCTCTGTCTTTAAAAAAAAATATTAACAGTTTACTGTAGCCAGAGACATTGTGGGATTCTTTTTTTCCCCTTGAAATATCTTTATGAGTGTGAGGCTTAATAAAAACAGTTAAATCCTACAGCATTTCTATTTGCAAAGTGCTGGAGAAAACCATGTGTCCATTTTCCACTTATTTTGCCAACTAGTTTTCCAGTAAATTCAAACAGGAGGCAGGCATCTGATTAAAGTGACTGTCTCACAAGCTATGTTTCGTATATTAGTGGCTAAGAGGGTCTCATTTAATTACCAAATGTATATTGTGAATAGTGCTTTCACAGGAAGATTTCATGTCTTCATAAAGCTGCAGAGATTCTTGTCCCTCGCAAGTAGCATTTAAGAAGGAGCTTTAAGCAGTTTAGTTGAATGCTTTCAGGAATGGTGTGATTCACACAACTTCCTTGGCAGCAACCTAGGTCTGCTCATTCTGTCTTGCTGTGGCTTGAGAGAGAGAGAATGTAGCTGGAGAGCTTATAGTAAGCTAACTGTTCACAGTTTCTAGTTGAATTAGCTGTAAAAGACATCTGTGTTCCTGCAGTGTTACCTGAAAGGTGCTTGTCATTTATGGTATGGCTGTTAGGTTGTTTTGGAAGGTATAACTCAATACATTTTCCCAGAACAAAGGAAACTATTTAATGCAATATATGGTAAATGTAAGCCTTCTAAGCAACTGAAGTTCCTCAGAATTTGCACACTAAGTGTAGCTCAGAAGAGAAATGTTCTGTTACAGATACTCTCTCTTATCATGTTATTTGGAAAAGTTCAGGGTGCAGTGCTAATCAGAACAGAAAATGGTTACTTATTCTCTGGAATATAGCATATTTATTCTGTCTTGAAAAACAATATAAAAAAGTTAAAATAATGGTAAAATAATGACCATATCCAGAAAATATGGTAAAATAATGACCATATCCAGTCACTAATACTAAGTGACTCAAAGACCGGTCTTAACAATTCTGTGATTTTTAATGAACCCCTTCATTAAAGTTAACACCTGGCATTAGATTTTATCAACTGCCAGGCCTCTGCTGTGGGTAGCCCTTATTTGGGGGCGTTCGTTACGCAGTAGCTTGGGATGGATCCTCACCCCCTCCTTTTTCTTTTTTTTTCTTTTTGTGTTTTTCCCCCAAGTAGGTCATGGTGTAATTCTTGAGGGGAGAATAATTGAATAATTAGATCAGAGGTTTTATGTTACCATCATACCAGGAATGTGGAGTAATTAATCTGAAACAGGTATATTCTCCTCTTTGTTACTGGGGTAAAATTTAGCCTATTGTGCCAAGCCCATTCAGCTTTGACAGCTAGCTCATAACAAACTTAGAATATATATTTTAATTAATTAGAAGAGGTCAATTATTGGATGTAGAGTATGTGATATATTTGAGTTGAAAATGTAGAAACAGAAGGAAGAAAGACCGGAGATAATTGCACATTTGTACAAGGGCACATACTCTCTGAAGTAGCTATACTACATTAGTGATATCTCTACAGTAGTTCCAGCATTTTATAATAAAAAACCCACACACCATCATTTTCCATGTAAACACTGAGTTTGACATTTAGTTTTGCCATTTGTTTTACTGGTTGCTTTGGCAACCAATAAATAATTTGTACTAAGTGCTTTAGCAGCCAGTCATTCTGTGGAAATGAGGATTGTCTAATCCATGTGCGAGTTCTTGGTCACTGTGTACCATGTCTGCTTTTCTTACAGAGGACTTAGGATAGAAATAGAAGAATTAAGTTTCCTTCACATAAATTTACAGATCATCCAGAAAACTTTACTCTTTGGTTTACTTTCTCTTCCTCTGTGATCCTTTCCTGAGAAACTTTTACAATGCACTGGAGTATTTTTGAAACAAATCCATACCAGACAAATCTGTGGATTCACATGTTATCAACCACTAAATCCAACTGGAATTAGTGTGCTGTGGGTTTTCTCTTAACATACCAAAACCTCACAAAAATTGTAGAAGAAT